TCCACAGGTCCACAATTTTGTGAACAGAATTAACCCTTCCCTGTCCCAGGAGGAGCCAGCTGTCTGAGCAGGAGCTGGGGGCCTGACTCCCAACCCAGTGCCAGCGCCAGCAGAAACCACTCTCTGAAAATTAACCTCAAACATGGGCAAACAGCCATCTCAAAACCACAGGTGACTTAAAAGTGCCCAAAACTGCCGTGTGGATCGTGTCCCGAGCCAGAGGACAGGCACAGACTGTGCTCCTGTGACGCAGCCGTGTCCCCAGCTCCCCAGGGCAGACACGAGCTCCACAGCTCCCGGGTGCTGGAGGAGACCTCAGGGGATGGAGGCAGATGTCCAGAAACGCTGGACTCCCCATCACATCCAGGACATCGGCAGCTGTGGAGCAGGTGGTAGCAATGTACAGATATTGAATTCATTGTCATGCCGGTGTGTAAAGTCCCACATATGAGTCTGGCATCCACCGCCTTTGTACATGTGCATTTATTTGGAAACCACTATTTATTTTGTTTACTTTCTTTTTGAACAGACAGTGATTTGTTTAGTATACCCTGTTGAATTAATCACAGTTTAGATTTCCAGAATACAAATGTACACACACATTTATACTCCATTAAAAAAAAAAAAAAAAAAGGACACTGTGTTTTAGGTTTTTTTGCCTTTCTAACACATTAACAAGTAGATAGTTTGGGGAAGAAACAAATTTTTTACCTGAAAATGGAAAAGACACTGCATATACTTTGCTGCTTTCCCTTTTATTGTTAGTGAAAAGGGGACATTGGTCTTCTACTGTCCTTAAATATATGATTAATTTCTTTCAAGTCATAAGACTACATAATTTGATTTTTATGTTCAGGATTACTTGATCCTTCTGGTACAGGATCCATATCAATAGGAGGGTCAAATAATATTAAAGTGATCTGTTCAATATTTTTTTTAGAAGTGCTCATCATCGGTCCAGTTTTTGCTGGTTTGTTATTGATGTCAGAGTGAGTACATTTAGAACCACAGTGAAACTTGGAGCTTTATCCCTAAAACATCACAGCTCAGCATTTAGCTGCAAATGTTTATGCACGTTAGTTTATGCACATTTACCACTGTTTTGTTGTTACTGTCCTCCAGGAAAGAAAGTCATGTCAGGAGCAGAAGAAAAACTGATCTTTTCTGTAAGTTCAAATATACTTGGAGCTGCACCTCCTTAGGAGTGCGTATATGAAAAATACTTACGCTTTGTGAACAAAGATTAACGAGTCAGGAAGATGAGAATCAAATTATTAATCTTGCAGTGTAAAATATGCAAAACTGTTGAAGCAGCTTTTTAATGAATCTGGCACTCTTCAATCTTGGTGTAGTGCTGTCATGTTTATCAACTCTGACTCCAAAGGAACCTCACTCATTTATAACAAACCCAGTTCTGCTCACATTTGCTGTGGAGGAAGACTTGTTCATTTCAGGGCCCACGGAAGTGGGTCAGTCTAAAGAAGTCTATGTCCAGGGGATGAATGAAAGCAATACGAAGCTGCACTGAGAGCTTGCCTTGCTTACAAAATCAGGACAAGTGTTGCACCGACAGGCGGAGGAAAGCTGATGGGATTGTAAATAAATACACAAGCATACATAAAAATATACAGGAAGAAATAAATGTATATCAGCAGATGAAATGCCAGTTCATTGCTTCTGGTCTATTTGCTTACATAAGGTCCTCCACAGCAACCACTGTACATAATATTATCCACCACCTCTGATGGGCATGGAAATTTTCCAGTAATAGTGGATGATGACTTTTCCAGAGTTGTACATGTATTCATCACAGTTGCTCTGATTATGGCAGTGGACAGTATCTAATTGTGTCTTAATATATATACTAAGGGTATACTTATACTGCATATATACTAAGGGTATGCTAAGCTCAGTAACTGTCTCTTGCTGATTGTAAAAGGGGACAGAAAGTACCTGATCTTGCCAACAACATTTGGATGCAGCCAACACACGGACAGTAACAAAAAGTCTGTAGCAAAAGGGCGAGGGCTAATTGCTAGTAACTCTGTGCCAAGGCTGCCAAGTTTGGAGCGTGTTCCTGGGTAGATGCTGGGGCAGCTGCTGCCAGCAGACAGGGGTCAAAGCTAAGTCCCAGATCTCATCATGTCAAATGCTCTGCACACCCATATTCACAGTTAGAGTTTGCTCCAAATGCAAAGGAAATGAAAATATCTACAAAAAAACAGGTGGAGTGATTTGCCTAATTGGCATGATTTTTGTTTCAATATCCCCAAAGAAGGTAATAGAAGACAGAACAGAAATCAATCCCTCTATCTGGTAACTTCTCACAACTTGAAAACTCTGCCGAAGTACTAAGAATTTTTTGTGGCAGTTTTTAGCCATTTCTCTAGTATCTTGATACTGCCAGTGGTTTCATGAACATTTTCTAATACACTGGCAGAGTGTTCCCTGTACATTTGCCTGTGAAGCGAGAAACGTTCGTGCATGTTTGTGTCTAAGACCTCTTCAGTGTAAAAGCATATTGAATCCAACTCCAGCTCACTGCATTCCAATAAGAGAACTACTGCACTGTAAGATGTGATCATGCAACCTGAACCAGTCTGCATTTACACAAAACATACAATACATGTACTTCTGCAGCTCGAGGAGTGGTGCATCTCACCAGGCTGGCTACCCTCTGACACCCATTTGAAACTGAGACTGTAGCAAGGTGAGGATGTCCAGGAATTAGTCTTAGTAATGGGTTTAAGTTGACAGGGGGGAGAAGAGAACTCATGTCCCTTGAATGTCCCCCGCAACTCTGATGTGAAAATGGTATTTGCTGACAACAGTGAGCTTTTCTATTCAGGCCCCCAGTTTGCGGAATTTTTTGATTTGTCCTTGGAGAACTTTGCTGTTAGACAAGGTGGAAAATGTTGCTCCAGATAACCTGTTCCTCAGAGGAGGGGAAGCCTGAGAGGGCCATGAGAACCCAAGGCGCATCTTCCCAGCTGGGCGAGGGCCAATTTTGGGCATAGGCAGCAGGCAGGTGCATCCAGCACTGCACTTACTGTCTGCCTCAGAAGTTAGTGATGTATCGTCTGCACTGAACACATCCTGAAGTACAACTACACTTAGAGACGGCATGTTGGATGGGTTCAAACATGAGCCATGGGGGTTTCCCAAAGGCTGCCATAGCTGTTGAAATTCTTTGACCACACCAAAAAATACATGTACCGCTCATTCTTGGGATGCTCCTAAATCACTCCTATTTGAGGAGCAGTTCTCTTCGTTCCCCAACCTTGCAATTGCAATAACATTGCTGAGGGAGCCAAAATGGACCCTCCCACTCCCCGGCCATAAGTAGGAGAGTGGGCTGTAGCACCGACCCTCATTCTTGTGCCTGCTTGCAGCTACACAAGCTTATCAGCTGTCAGCACTTCCCTCTGGCTTACCTGGGGATTGATTTAATGTTAATTTGGCATTAGCTTCAATAATGTGGGGCTTCCATCCTGTTCACACATTTTGCACGCCACTGCAATTCAGAGGCAAGACCACAGACATTTGAGCAAGAGAGATTATTAAAGAGAATAATGCTTTTTTCTGGTGGTGTTTTCATGTGAGAGGTTTTACACAAATTACTATGAAGGCTCTAGTTGACAGTGGTAGGTCTCTACCGTTACAGTTTATAACTAACCAGAGGAGTACTGAATCCTGCCCTGGAAAGGGGAAGACCAACAGTAATGCAGAGTAGCTGATGTGAAAGTAACTCTGTTATTACTATTACCTGATACTACTGTAAGAAAAGCTGAAAAGATATAAAGAAGTAGCTTGGAGTTTTGCTTGCAAAGTAAAAATCAGTATTTCATGCCTTACTGTCATTTGCACTAGAGGCCCTGCCAGAAGCACCCAATCCAAAGCACCCTGGAGAGGGGGAAAGGCGTTAAGGAGCTTCAGCAGCCAAAAAAAATTTTTACTTTGCTCTGATAGGTATAGTTGTAACAGAATTTAAGAATTATGGGAGAAATTTCCCTCTTCAAAATTAAACAAACAAAAGCAGTAGATGGAAAGACTGCACCTCTCCCTCAAGAGAGGACAAATCCAGACTTTTTAATAGCAGCTTTAATTCCAAGGTTATGGTAGATAAACACATATTTTCTTCTTCTAAACTTTGGATGTAAGCAATACAGAAATGCAAACACACATTACACATCCAAAGTTGCGTGGTTTGATTTTTTTCTCCTTCCTGTGGTATCACTAACCACAGCAACATTTTAGATTGGACCATGCAAATCAATCCCAATTACAGAGAAACACTGAAGAATTAAGTCTATTCAGACAACACCACCACACTTCTCGCCTGTCAGTTACCAAACACAGCATTATTCTTTCTCCCAGCACAACTGCAATTTAAGGAGAAAAATTGCACAGTACATCATTAACTTCCTACAGAATACAAAGGACGAGAAGGATTTATGCTTGATTGTTATATTTTTCCCCTCCATAAGTTATGAAAATATCTTTCAAAAAGGAATCAAAAATAATCTGTTGTACAACATACGTTCAACTTATAAACACATAAAAATCCGTCGCAGAGTACTAAACAGTATTAATTCAGTACGAGTTTTATTTACATCATCAGTATGGAATATCAAACTTTTTACATGTATACTTCAGTCTCTTCTTTCAGAATGGTCAAAAAAATTGCTGTTTGGAAGCTTGAAGGTATGAATTTTAACAAAACCTTCAAATGTTGACAACTTATCAAATGTGTACTGAGGAAGCACACTATACTACGGCAAAGTAAATTAAAATGTGTAAAAAATAAAAATAACTTAAGAGGACACTGCTTATCTACAGTCTCTTTCAAACTAATTTCACTCATCATTTATTATTCTCTTTTTATCAATATAGATTATTTCATGGGTCAGGAAAGGCAAGGAATAGCTTGTAATTTAGTATTCAGCTCAGGTCTGATCCTGCAAAGATAAGAGGAAGCTGAGGACAGCTGTCTCAATGCTGACACAGCATGTTTAGACATGGCCTCCTACCCCACCAAAGTAGCTAAGGCAGTACTTTTGTGCAGACCATACTCTCTTTAGCAAAGGCCTTTGTAGCATCTTAATCTATTCAGGCGAGTCAGTGGTTCATATTTTGTTGTACTCAGTCACTATCATATTCCTCTATCTTCAATTCGTCTTCCTCCATGATTGCTTGAGCTGCAACCGGCTGAGGCTGACTGCAAGGCAGTTCACTTCCACTGCACTGGCTTGAAGACAGAGGGAATTCATCTGTTTCATTCTCATTCGTTCTGTTATTCTCCACCCGCGCAGCCATCTCCATAGCGTGGACATCGGCATGGTCCTCCTCAGAGCTAACAAATAAGTCTGGTATCCCAGGATCTTTATCAGTAAGTGTTTCAAGCTTTAACCTGTAAAATTATTATTGCAATAGTTAAGTTACCACAAAAAAACCTCTGCGCTCGCACATAGTTGCTGCACTAGAAAAGACCAGCCGTGTACCATGTGGGTCACCCTTCTTCACTGGTATTTCATAGTTTTCATATTTTCTGGCAGTAATACCCTCTATCAATCACAGTTAATTCAAGCTATACACATACTGTCCTTACATCACTACCTTCAGTATTATGCTTTTACAGCTCTGCGCACGTCTTCTAGGTACAGATACTTGTGCCCAGACCTCAACACCATACAGCTTATGTGACAGCCTACAGAAGAGAGACGAGCTCCCCTTGGGGAAAGGACTGCCCTACATAGCCTCAAACCACAGCAACAGCGGAACACCACAACGTCTTTGTGCTCCGTCACTTTCCCAGTACCCACTGCTGCTTGAAGTTTCTTCCTTACGGTGACAGTGGTTTTGCTTAGCTTTCCTCATGCACGTGAGCTGCTAACAGTTAAGTTAGTGACAACAGCCCATGGTACGTTAGACCCTTCCCAAGCAAAACTGAAATCCTTTAGGACAGGAAGCAATTTAACTTGAATCAGGGGAAAAAAAAAAAAAGTAGAAATTAAATATTTTCATATTTTATAATTTCTTTTACTATCTGGACTTCTCAATCGTTCTAGTATCTCTCTATCAGTATGTTACCAATGTTCCTTTATTATTTTTCCCACATTATTTATTATACTGGGAATAATAAAAACTTACAGAGTTACTGACAAAAACTCATCCTGACACCAATTCCAGCTGATCAAATACCATGCACTCTCTTCAATACCAGTTTTCTTGCTACAGTACCATTCCCATTCCCTTAATAAATATAATGGAAAATAAATAAAATATTCTTATTTCCATTGAAACAGCTGCACATAAGTTATTTTAAGCACTGCTTAGTAACATAAAATAAATTACTTTCAATTAGGATTCGTGGAGGAAGCAAATGGTTACTAAAATACCTAATTCCTCTATACTTCCTTTCTAAAATAGTGAACAAATGAAAAACAATTACCATGTTTTCAGGAGAAAGTTACCCTTCAGATAAATCTCTAAGAGACAGACACCCAACATATTAACGCAGATAGAAAACGTTTATCTATATTTAAATGTATGCTGCAGACAAAATTAATGGCATAAAGAAGTCTACCATTAATTTGTAAAGTTACAAACATTTTGGCTTAAGATGAGGGAGATTGCAAAAAAATACACCCATTAGGGACGCTTTCCTTTCTTCCTGACTAGCAACCAAAGTGGCTTTTAATACAACTGTTGGGGAACAGAGTGGTTCTTGGGTAATACAGCCTTGACCTTACAGGCGAGCATTTCATAGCTAAACTCTGGCAGCAATACCACAGTGATAAATGAGAGATGCTTTGTTGCAGGCCCTAACAAACTCTCTCTCTTGGTTAAGAGATGAAAGAGTCAGTCTCATTCCAGCTGACTGTGATCGTGATCCTTTATTAGAAACAGACCATCACAATTAAAACTCTTTTTAAATATCAGAGATATCAAAGTTATAGAAATGTAAAGGAGGCTTTACTAGTATAAGTGATGCCTATGATTCAGAAGGCTCACTAGAGTCACAACATACTGTCATGCCACGTCACCCCATGAGCACTATACAATCTGTAACTAGAGCACTACAGTCTCACAGTTGAAATAAAAAGTATTTTTTCAGTATTTAACTTCTAGGACAGAGGAACTTCAGCAGCTCTAGTTTTATTAAAAAATGCATTCTAAACAAAGGTTTACTCGAAGTAGTCCGATAGGCAAAAATTCCACAAAATGAAAACGAGTGCTTCTATTTAATTTCAGAGGAAGCACTGGTTAAAATATTTTGTAGTTCCATAGATATTCAAAGGAAGTAAGAATAATTCCCCATTATACTTTCTTACACCTCTAACACGCCTGTGAACACAGAATGTTCTATCAAACTTCCAGATTAATGCTTTATGTCATGATAAACAACAGGCAAAGCGCACTATACTCTTCGCATCAATTCAGTTTTATTCTCACATAAATGTTTTTTATTGTAAGAAAAACTATTTTATTCAGATCACGCAATGGAGAAACACAGATATGCCTAGGACAGAGCTAATTGATACAATGAAAAAGAAAGCTAAACAAGGAATAAAAGCAAGACTACAGTAAAAATGTTGCTACTAATATTGTAATGATAAATAGATTTGAACTGGAAAAAAGTTTTAACAAGCAAAATATAAGATTATCATGCTGCAAGTGAGGGAAAACGTCACATCACAGATGTACATTGAAGATGTTTCTCTGTGCAAGGGTTCTTTTCTTCCATATATTAAGAAAGGAAGAAAGTCTTACTTTCTTTAAGAAAAGATAGAAGTCAAGTTTACCTCCCAAAATGTCTTTTCAGTGGTAGCCTTCCAACATCTTGGATAAAAGCAATCTGAGCTAAGAACAAAGAATCACCAGTATCACATTGGGTAAATCATAAGGCCTGTACAATTAAACATACTGGAAAACAAATAATTCGTAAGTTTAGTCAAGTATTCCTGTATATATTTGCAATAATTTGGATACCAAAACACTGCATGCGCGTACATGTATTTTTTTTTTTCAAACTGTTTACCACATTCCCATAACGTATTTACAGATTGCCTACACATAAAAAAAGATACCTGACATTCATCAACTGTGTATTTATGATGTAGACTTATTATTTCATAGCCTACAAAATGAATTAATCCTGATGTTAAGGCCTTAATTAAGACATGAAGCCCTTTATTAGAAGTAATTAACATAGCATAAGCAACCCAGCTGTCTAAACAGTAATTTTTGGATTATGTACCATACGAAGCAAATTGTTCCGCACGACCTGTCTGCTATTGGATTACCTCAGGTTACACATTTTTTTAATGCACTGCAAACTTGCATTTTGTTCACTTTACCTGGGAAAGGCTTTTTAAAGCCTTTTAAGTCTGTTGATGTTACTGGAAAGGGACCAGTAAGCAATGAAGATCTAGTTAATATTGCTTACTAGGTTTCCAAACGTCTTCTCACCAAATCCTCTAGTAGATTTAAAAGAAGCCCTAAGCCTAAGAGAACAACTTAATTAGTAAAGCCTGATAAATAATTAATGAATAGGAAGCAGGGAGAGAAGTATGAGGTAATAGTTAACTCTTGCACTGGAAAAAAGTTGCCAAAACAGTTCTGTGAAGATCTGTGCTAGGACCTGGGCTATCCAGTACGTTCGTAAACATAACCCTGTGAAAAAAGGGAGTGAAGAGTGAGATGAGCAAGTTTGCCAATGCCACCCAGTTAGACAAGCTAGTAAGGATGTAAGCAAACAGAAGAACTGTGCAAGGACCTTACAAGACCAAGTGAGAGGATGAACACGATGAAATTCAAAAGTACACAGGTATCAGAAATCCACGCAGTAAAAAAAGGGAAAAATTATTTCAAACACTCCAACACGAGGACCTCACCTTACACGTTTATAAAGCATCATATAAGCCTCACTCCTGCCAAGACAGATACTTACTTCAGCTCCTTCAGTGACAGAAGTTTTAAAAATTTCCTTGATGTTGTTTCAAACCTAAGAGGACAGCTTTAATTTTGGCTATGTTACTAGAAACATTTCTGGATATCAGCTATATGCATTTACTGTAAGCATTTTTTTTTACTGATGCAAAAGCACAGATAGTACTGACGTTTTGGGTTACAAAATTTTTCAGTATGCTTTAATTACCGAAAAAGAGTCCAAGAATAAGAGTTACACCCATCTTACCTTGGTTTCTCATTGGATTTGCTAACATAGCAAGATAAGGCAATAGTTCTGTCTGAAGACACTCGGATGGTAAACAGAAGCTTGAAAAGAGAGATTTTGCAGCAAGGCAATTTTCTTTATACTGTAAGAGTTGGAGGAAAAAGGAACACAAGTAAAATAAAAAAATGGTAAATCATTATTAATGTAGATATTCTGTACCGTAAAGACAGACTTTGTTCTTGGCTGCTGGATGACTATACACAAGCTATTGAAAAATGAGACCAGAAAAAAAGATAAGCAGTTAAAAGTTAACATATACAGATCATAAAAATGGTAAATTCCTTCATTTTTGCTGGGCATTAAAGTTTCCAGAAAATATTTATCCCTTCATTATAGAATTCCCCACCCATCCAGGCCAATTTTTTTGCCAGATACAGCAAGAGAAGTGTAAGTTCAAATGTAAAAAACTGCCAAGAGCTTTCGTATCTCATGAACAAGCTATTTCTGATAAGAACATGAAACATATAAGCAGTAATTACACAACAGTTTAACGTGACTTAAACTGCACAAAAACTTAAACTTACTCTTAGGAATACTTCATAGTATTTCAACACTAATTGTGTTTACATAAACTTAGGATTAAGACTCTCCCAGCAGTATGTCAACTTGGACACAGGAATCAGACTTTGTCAGAGGCCTCCAATTTATTTTTCCATTGAAGGAACAATACAAATGCAACTCTTCAAGCAAGTGCTTTTCTGAAGTAGCTTATATCAAAATAGGATATTTGACAAGTTCAGCACTGTAACCAAATCTCATCTATACCACTCAACTGTCATACCTTACTAAAAAAAAAAAAAAAAAGTTAAATAAATAAATAAAGCATTTACCTTTTTATTGATAAAGAACCACTGGGGTTTATGTAAAGGCCGGAAGCCCATCCCTCCTTGGTGGTGGGCAAAGGCTCTAGACATATTTGAATGTATCACCCCTCGGGTAGCTACAGATGCACTGTATTTTTCCATCACAAGCCATGTCTAAGAGAGAAATAGGGCATCATGTGAACTCAAAGTCTCTGTACAGTGTGTCTCATTTCAACTAACACACTCTGTAATTGCAGTGACATGACATGCCCAGAATATGTTTAGATTAGCCTGAAACTTTTACTCAAAGCAGCTGAATGAAAAAGCTAGCTTATTTACTTCAGGGAAAAGGCATACAGACTCCAACATATTTTTAGCATAAATACGTTTGACTTAAAAATACTTTGTAGGCTGTTTTACAAACACTATAACCCACTATAACAAAATACTGACAGAAGTTGGACAAAAACTTGGACCTGCATCTCTTATATAGTTGATGTACTTCAGCAGTCATTAACAACTGTCACCTACACTGTAAGTTTGAAGTAAATATTCATAAACACTTAGAGAAAAGTCTATAAGCTCGATGTCAGAGTATTAAAAAAAAAAGTATGCCTGTATAAAAAGATGACACTTACACTCCAATTACTGCAAAGGACATCAGCAGTGCTCAAATATTCACTGGCTCTCACTACATCATCTACATCAGAAAAAAAGTCTACATAGTTCTGGTGAAGGTACAAATTAAACATGCTTCCAGACATATGCGATTTTTCCACAATATCCTATTAGGAAAAAAAAAAGTTCAAGTTTTACACAGTGTATAAGGAAAAGCATCCTATAAAAGTTATGATACATTTAGATGGTTAGGGAGCTGGCACACATGAACCACAAAGTGATGCGTATATACAAAAGGGAGGTTGGTTGCCCTCCCAGAGAAGGCTAACTGTGGGGATGGAGGGGCAGAAGCCATTGCTGTCTTGAACTCTCTTAATGGGTGGTAACAGTAAAGCGAACTCAGGCTCCTCTTGGCAATGCACAGCAAAAGGATGAGAGGTAACAATCACAGGCTGCAGCAAGGGAAAGTCCACCTTCCACCACAAGTCAGTCAGTGAGGACAGAGAATCGCTATCCTTGGAGATACTCAAAACTCGACATATCAAGAGCCTGGGAACCTATCTACCTTTGAAGTTACCCTCCAGAGGTCCCTTTCAGATTAATTATTCTACAACTTAGACAGACTGAATAAACATATATTAAGATCAGTGACAAAGCCACTGTGCTTAAGAATTTGCATCAGTCACTTAAGAGTTTGTTTTCTTTTCTTTTCTTTTTCAAACCAAACTGGAATCAAGTAGTTATGGCAGATGTACCTCAGGCTGAATAAGCAAGGTGTCTCGATGGTATTCTGATAAGTGAGCAGGCAGCTGAGGAAATTCCGATTCTGACACTGGTTTTCCTAAAAAGGTTTTTACAATCTTTAGTATTGTAGTATCAGAAATGTTGTTACATTTCTGCATATAATCATAAAAGCCAGAAGAAGACACACATTTCATATTAAATATTCAAAATCAGAATAAAAATTAGATAGGAGCAAGAACAGACATGTATAACTGCATGAATAGTAGTTTTCACATATACTGAGCATCATTTTTAGCAACTGACATCTCTACCAGCAACTAGACTACACCATTTTCAGTTCCCAGAAAGCTACTGATACAGGCATAAGTATTTAATTATATAGTCAATATTACATGGTCAACAACATGTAATTAGTAACATTACACTTTATAAAACAAATTTCATCTCATTATTTTCATATTCCCTTATCTCACTATTTCTCCTCAGTTGATTTTGGAATGGACACAGTGAATTATTACCAAAATGTGGACAGCCAATGGCATTATGGATCCTGATTTAGTTAAGTACAGACAGTGTTAGTTAACTAAGTATCAAACGCTTACGAACTATAGTTTTTAAATGTTAAAAAAACAGTACTGTAACCACACACAGGCAGCAGATAGTTCTATAAATTTACAGAACTGGAGTGTATAAAAAGTAGAACTTTCAGTAGTAGTAAGGTGGAAAGTATTTTGGAGAGGTGGAAAGGGAGATAGGCTATGACAGAGAAGTGGAAGAGGTTTTCAAGTCAGAAAGGAGAGAGCACGTATGTCTGTTAAAGGGAAACAAAGACTTGAGATAAAGAGTAGGGAGAAAATGACAGCAGATGCACAAATAAGGGAGGCAGTAGCTATGAGGTTGCAGGGCTGTTCTGTAACTTTTACGAATACAGATGTGAACAGAACATAACCATACAACAATGTATAATTTTGCACAAAAGCAAAATTTGCTTTTGTACACCTGTCCCATCCATAGCCTCCTGTGGGTGCGACCCCTCTTCCACCTCCCCACATGCAGAGCACAAGGGAGCCCGAAAGGAACAAGCACACACCCATGGGCCTTTCTGCAGAACAGTCCCACCTCTACCCCAGCAACAACTACAGATATCAAGCACCATCAACTGTGAACGCAGGCACTGCCTGAAAAACCTGCAGTTACCTTCAGAAACTGCAGTTACTTAGGAAAACTTACCTGAAGGAAAATCTACTGAAAGGAGAAGTAATTCTGTTCTAGCCAAACCAGGACAACAAAGCAACAAATGTGCTGGCTATCTGTCTAGCTTTGTGTGCATGACAGCATGTGGACCTAATGCAACTAGAGTTATGTAATTTTATTACATACATGTAGTACTTCTTAATGAAACATTTATTTAACCTAATAGATACAGACAGCTGCAATCTCAGTTACCACAAAACTTTTATTCCTGTTTTTATACTGTTATTAATGACCAAACATGTGACTTAGAAGTCACCCTAAGCTTTACTTTAGCAAATCTCGCTATCAGCAGCCAACATGCTTTGCCTATTGAAACTAAGAATAAGTCAAAGTTTTCTTACTTTTGCAGTAAATTATTTTCCCCAGAGCATGGAAAAGAAAGATGGAAGCGTCTTTGCCACCAATAGCTTGTATCTCTTGGTCTTCTGAAGTATTAGATTTACTTTTCATTCTTACTTTAGATACTGCCGCTGCTCCACATTTTAGTGTGGAGCTCCTTTTCTTTGACCAAAAGTCCTTCTCCAATGAGCAGTCTATCAATAAAAGCAAAAATACAATCAGGATAAAGTACACGAATCCAAAAGTTTTCTATTGTATTGCTACTGCTAAGGTTCTAAACAAACAAATAATAATAATTAAAAAAAGAAGAGGAAAAGGCTGTATAAACAGGGGCACTAAGAGAAAACTCATTCATAGGAAGACAACTCAGTCACCTAAACTAGTATGCTTCATTCCACTTCTGTCCCTTAAGCTACAGCTAAGGTGTCAAGAACTTTTTTGAATATTAAGTATCTGTCTTTAAAAAAAGCTACCATTCTTGCTTATTCATTCTAGTTCTGATGCATCCCCAACTTGCCTTTCTTAAAAATGTCTTTAAAAAGTACAAGTGCAAATATATGCAAATATTTCAGTTACATTCTGTTCACTTATCAATTTATCTTCAACTTGCATTATTTGTATAAATCCCCTCACCGAAATATACGGCAGCAAAGAAAACTCTTCATTTAGGTGATTCTTCCAACAGCCTACTAATTTCCACAATGTTTTGAGCTCCAAGGAATAAAATCCTTCTTCTACTCTAATTTAAAACTCAAAAACTTTCACTCACGATTTGATTTAGTGTCAGGTGAATGCTCCTTACCGAGCTAAGAGAACTTATCCTTTAAGTATTCATCTTTCTTTCCTCCCACAGTTACCATGGATCCATTTTACCCATTAACACTACTACAAAATGAATGTATTGACTGTGTTTACACATACACATAGGTGAAGAAAGAAATTATATATACATATTTATGTGTATATATATGTAAAAACTCATACTGCTTTCTCAGGAGATCAACAAAGAGGTGAGGTGTCTCCAAAATTTACAAAATATCACTGGCTGCCAATCATTTACCTAACTGAAATACCTGAACAACTAAAAAAATTCTATTCAACATGAAGGTAGCTCTTCTCAATCTGTTAGACAAAATGCAAGAAGAGAATGTTCAGTGTCGTATGACTTGAGTACATGATTCTGAGATGTCACGTACAGAAGCTGTCAAGCCATATGCCTTTGTTTTCTCCCAAGTTCTCTTTATAACTGTCATGTTTTAACATTTCCAAGGTAATTTATTAAAAATCATACTAACTGGTCTTGTTAAGACTATTTAGATTTTCTAGAGTATGTAGAAGCTAATTACCATCCAGTAGTGAGCTAATGCAAACTTTTCTCAGGTATCAACAACCTACTATTTATTAACTTAATGGTATTATCATCAAAATGGTTTTACTAAGAGGAATTCTGTATTTTTCTGATTAACAGAGAACAATACAAACTTAGTATACTAGAAGAGCACATCAGAAGAATTTAGTTTCCATGTTTGCAAGTTAAACCTAGAAACTTTACTCTCTCCCTCACGTAATTTAACAAACACAGTTAAGTTAATTTCAATATGCTTTAAAACTCGAACTACAGCACTGCCTCTTATAACAAGTACTTGAAACTACATTTAATCCTGTATTCCATGAGTACATTTTCTACTTGCAAGGTGGACGCAAGAGAAAACAAGTAAAAGCAACAAGATCATTGCTAGCTTTATGACATACCGCAGAAGACAACTGTTGAGTTCACTTCCTTATTTCTAGGTTGAATATAAGTGCTGGCACCACCTAACGGTTCTTAAAATGAACTGGACATGCCAGAATACTGCTTTTAAATATCATAGATTATGTAACTCACATACATTGGTTTCTTAAAAATTACTGACCTCCAATGCTTATAAAAGACTTGACAATTATTTCTCTGTTTTCTTTAAATGTTGGAACATTTAAAATAATCCCAAACTAAATTTGATTTGAGCATTTTCCAAGTACTTTGAAGACTACTAAAATACTGAACTTCGAAGTTACTCTATAATACACTCAGTAACTTCATAGTAGGTCATGCCACTTCACAGCTTTTCAATTTAGGAACTCCAAGGCAAAAATCAAGCATTACAGAAATGCAGTATACGAAGTCAATGGGCTACTTCAGAAATGCTTTAAGGGTAGAGATAAGGACATGGAAAAGTGTAGGAATCAAGCAATGAAAATAATCCTTTCAAATTAAGGTTGTGTCATGAAAGCTTTGAACAGTAAACACACACCAATAGCAAAGACATCAAGAAGAAAAGAGACATTTAATTACATTACATCAACACATACATAGCTGTCATGGTTTTACCCCAGCTGGCAACTAAGCACCACACAGCCACTCACTCACTCCCCATCCCAATGGGATGGGAGAGAACTGGAAGTGTAAAAGTAAGAAAACTTGTGGGTTGAGATAAGAACAGTTTAATAACTGAAATTAAATAAATTATAATAATAATAAAAAATTGTAATTAGAAGGAAAAGAGAAAGAAATAAAACCCAAGAAAAACAATGAAAATAAAACCCAAATGAAAAACAATTGCTCACCACCTGCCGACCAATGCCCACTGAGTTCCCGAGCAGTGGCTCCCCCACGAGCTTTCTCCCTAGTTTATATGCTGAGCATGACACCATATGGTGTGGAATATCCCTTTAGTCACTTGGGCTCAGCTGTCCTGGCTGCCTGCCCTCCCAGCTTCTTGTGAACACCCAGCCTCCTTGCTGGCAGGGCAGCACGAGAAGCTGCCAAGTCCTTTACTTACTGTAAGCACTGCTGAGCAACAACTAAAACATGAACGTGTTATCAACATTATTTTCATCTTAAATGCAAAACACAGAACTATACCAGCGACTAGGAAGAAAATTAACTCTCTCCGATCTGAAACCGGGACAGTAGCAGATATTACCCAGTTTTAAGACTACATATAATCGTCATGAAATAGAATGCTTTCAGCTTAAAAAACAAACAAACAAACCAACCCACCAAAATTTGTGCCTTTTATTCCTGCTCTGGAGCAGCGTGTCAAAAATGTTTTGCACAGCTCACTTACCTGTGCTGCAACAATGAACAGAACAGAACACCTTTACAGCAGAAATGGTCAAAATGTCACTCCTTTAACAAAGTCATAGGTATTTACCTTTCATAGAAGAAAACTGAAGACTGTTTATTGCACTTCTTATATCACCTGAACAACCTCGGCAAAGCAACTCCAGAGAAGTTCTATCAAGAGCATAATTCTTTTCTCTGTTCTACAAGGAAAAGCAACATTCAAAGTAGTAAAAAAAGTATGAAAATGAGTATTTGAATATTATTCTGGCTGTAGGGATCCACCTCTGATACACACAATAAACAGACTACATCAGTATTCACCATGTGCTCAAACCATGTAATACTGCTAACTTTAAAACACTGAATCCATTTAAGCACATTGCTGCATTTTATATAGCAATACTAAAGAGAATAACGTATGTATTTCTTTGCAAGGTGTCACTCAATATTAGACTGGGTTGTAATCAAAACAGTTTGGGAATAATACAGGATTTAGGTTCAGAACCTCTTCTGGCCTTGCTGCTTACAATGAAAATTACTTCTATTTTTACTATTTGTTTCATATATATATAGTTTCTGTAATAGGCAGAAGAAGTTTCAGAAGTAATTTTGAAGACTTAGACCAAGGATCAGGTGGAACTAATCTTAAAAACAAGATACTTTCCAGTTTGTTCCTCGTTTTCTGTTGGAGGTGATGGGTAGGGGTTTTTCAGGGGTGTGGGGCTCTGCTGTCAAAGATCAAACAAATACAGTAATCAATATAAATAACGTATTTCAGATATAAAAGTCTGAAATCTTTTGGTCCTAGCACTGCACAGAAGTTATCACTTTTGACAACTTACCACACTAGCTTCTGTTGCAGCTATTCGATTAAGAACTTTCATCATATTTGTTGGTGCAACAGGCTTGAAACTGTTGAATTTCATTTAAAAAAAATTAATTAGTTTCTCACCTCATTTATTTCAATTAAGTTTTAACAAGATAAAAAGATCTTACCTAATATTGGATATACACAACTCCTCTAGAATTTCCGTTGGGAACAGTAACCTCTGGTTCCTGTCTCCACTGAAGTTGTCCGAGATTATAAATATAAGGGGACATCTACTGGTACGAACAAACCTCCTAAATTGAAAAATAAGCAAGTATGAAGAATCAAACTCCAGTTTACTGTAAGTGGCTAAACTAATCATTAAAAACTTATTTGCCACTGACCTGAGAATTTCATGTAGACTGCTAGGGTCTCGATAGAATTGGTTAGGTATGTCCTATTCAAAACAAATGAATTGCTGTCATTACATTCAGATGTAAATATTCTCTCCCACAGACTGACTGTTAGGGCACACTACGTTGCTACACTTTTTTTTCTCCCTAGTTAGCTTGCTTTCAACTAAATTTGAATGCAGTTAACACTGAAGATAACCAGGGGGAAAAAAACAAAGAAAAAAATCCAAAGCGTAATATTTTTTCTTTCATTATGGAAAACAATTATCTAAAAAGAAACATTTTCTTTCTGTCTTGGTTTCCTACGAAACAGACCCGGGTGATTACACTGCCTGCTAGACAGAGTTTTACTCAAGAGGATAAATGCTCAAGGTCGCAACTCCACTGAGGAAGAGGGCCGGATATATTACTTGAGATATGAGAGGATCTATACAAGAAAGTGACTTTATAAAGAGAAGTCACAGAAAACTATACTTCCTAAATTCTACAGTACATCACATTACTCAGCTAGAATTTTTGTCTCATCTATTCTTTTTCTTGAAAGTCTACAGACAACTGGACTATCATGTTATAAAATTCCTCTGAGAAATAATGAAAAGCTCAGAAAGAAAATGCTATTAAAACACATCCTGAATAAGTAATAATAGTGTCTTCTCCTGTACCACTCATTATGGTTTACAAACCCTCAGAGTTCACACCTCTGCCCTAAATAATGCTCCCTGTGTAAGATTTTTTTTAATGCTAAATTTCAAATGCTTTCTGATTGTGTTAATTCTCACGTTATCTTCTACACTCTCCTGCATCCTTACGTAACAGGAACAGTGGGGTTTTTTTCCCCTCTTCCTGTTTATACATACGTATATTTCTACAAATCTAATCACACAGACACATGGGTATGACTTTTCAATATCGTTTTGATCTACTTTTTGATACTCTATCACTTACTTCTGTACACAAACCAATCTGCAATTTCTGCCTGACTATTATCTTATATATTTAACTACAGGTAGAACTTGGTTCTAGGCTGCTATAGAGACTCAAAAAGCAATAAAGAACTCATCTGCAGTAAAGCAGAGTAACTTTTGGTAACACTAATCCACCAGCTGAAGATAGCTAGCATGTCACTATTATAATAAAAGATACCGGTTTTAAAACAAGATTTCACAGGTTTTCACTTACTTCAATAAGAATAAGCTTTTTATCATTTTCTGAGGACTCCCCAAGCATCTGAAGTTTGTTATACTTATTTGCTCTTAACAGAAAATCTTGAAAGAGAACTGCTTGGGTCTGACTTGGAAGCATATGAAAATTTGAGTCTGAAAAAGAAAACTAATTAAAAATACATATTCTATATTATACTGAGTAGAATATAAATACCCACAAGAAGTAATACCCGTCCATGCTACTTCTGAGAGTAGCCATTGAACACCAGCAGCTAAGCCCTTTAGGAAACACATGACAAATACAAAAGAATTTTTAAAGGGCAGAATTCAGTTGAGGACCCAGATGAATACAGGCTTACCTATTTTTATTTAGTTGGCTCAAATGATATCCAGGCTATTACATAGTTCTCTATACTGATTTCAATTGCAAATTCTTTCAGAGCAAACACTGTAAAAAAACTAAATCCCTTTCCAGATAAAAGCAAAAGAAAAATTCTTATTAAACACTAAGGATCTGACTTGCATGGATGTGGATCTGGCTTCATATGTGACAGGCATAAAAGAATAAAAAATACAGAATATCAAAATCACAAAAGT